AACAGCTGCACAGCAGCTCTGCGCCGTGGCTCGTACAGGAAGTGGGTAAGAATTCCGAATCCACCAGATCAGCAGGGGTCCTAAGGGGGAGAGAATGTAATCGCTCGAATTGGAACCTGTCCAGAACCTGAAGACCTTCGCACCTGTGCCTGCAAAAAAGTGCCCTGGGAAGCCCCGTGAGCCCGGTGATCAGCCCTGAGCTCTGCATCCTGCTCAAGAGATGGCGCCTCTAGCACCCAGAATTTGTCTTTCTCATTCTCTGTACATCCCCACGTCTGAGTCAAAAGGAGGGCTGTCACCTTCGAACGCACTAAGTTCTTTACAACAGTGTTGTTAGCCAAGAGCCCAGGATTGGTAAATGCTGCTTCCATTGGAAGAGTAGGTCAGGGCGCCAGGGTGGGCAGAATCTTCCTCGAAACTCAGGAGAAGGAGGAGAGCAAGTGTTTGAAGCCCAGTGCTCTAAACCCTGACTCCCCTGAGGAGGGGAGAGAGGGGCACGTTTCTTTGTCTTCCTCATTAGAGTTAAGCTCCCTCTTTCCGCACCAGACATGCTTTACCTTCATGGCTCACACAGCTTTTAAATGTGTACTTTTATTTATTTACAATTACTCTTAAGTCTGGTTTTTGAAGTATAATTTACATACAGCAAAATCTATCCTTTTTTAATGTACTGTAAATTTTGCACAAGATCTTGTTTCGTATAAGATCTACCAATCAAGATGGAGCATGTCCATCATTCCAAGGTGCTCCTGCCCCCCCATCGGTATACGCCCCCACTCCCTAGCACCTGTTAGCAGCAAGTCATCTAATGGACTCTCTAATTTTGCCTGCTTCTTACCTTCCTTCCTTTTTGCCAGAGGACTCGTGTGCTTGCTAGAGAGAGAGAGACAGCGAGTACAACTAGTAATTAGAAAGCACCCTCAAGGGGCACGGCCATGCCACAATCCCGTCTTCTCCAGCTCTCCCTCCAAGGATTTTAGGCAGGCATGCACATGCACACAGCTTGTTTCTCAGGCCATGGTATCAGCCATGTGGGATCCAGCCACCCTAACCACAAGGCCACTGGGTGGCCCAATTTTATTGTCCTACAAATATCATAAATCATATATTATGGGACTAGCTCTGTAGCACAGTGGTTAAATGCTGTGCATGTCACATGATTGACTGCAGTTCGAATCCTGGCTCCATGGCTTGAAAAACATGCCTGGTGCTTGTGCATGCATGCACGCGCATGCCCAAAATCCCAATAGGAAATAAAAGTGAAGAAAAAAGAACTGTGGCGTATGACCATGGCCAATCAAGGGATGTTATCTGTCTCGCTCTTTTTGGCCAGCACACATACCCTCTGGCAATAAAAATAATAATATAGGGGGAAAATCATGCATGATGTAGCCTTTTTTCTCATAATTTGAGATTCATCTGTTTTTTTCTGCATATATCAGTACCTTGTTCCTTTTTATTACTGAGTGCTATTCCATTTTCTGGATGAACCGTTTTGTTTACTCACTTAAAAGTTTAAGGACATTTGCAACATTTCTGGTTTTTGTTGACTCAGTAAAGCCCCTGGAAACATTTCTGTTCAGGCTTTTCTATGTCCATACTGTTTTCACTTCTCCTTAGTAAATACCTAGGAATGCGATTTCTAGATCCTATAAGTGTATGTTTAAATTTAAAAGAAAAACTACCAAGCTGTTTCCCAAAGTGGCATGGCAGGAATTTGCAGTTGCAGTGCATTTTCCATTTTACCAACAATGTATGAGAGTCCCATTTCTGTACATCCTCACCAGTGTGTGTTTGGAATTGTCACTATTTTCAAAAAGCGACAGCCATTTGAGTAGGTATGTAGTGGTATATCGTGTGTTTTAATTTGCGTTTCTATGATAACTAATGATGCTGAACATCTTTTTGTGTTTTATACCTTTTTTTAAAAAAATGACTCTTGGGACCAGCAGTTAGCGTAATGGCTATGTCTCTGGACTCCCATGTAGTCGACCATGGTTCGAGTCCCAGACCCGGTGTCTTAAACTCAATGCTGGGCACATGTGCATGCATGCCCAAGATCCCGAGAGGAGAATGGAGAAGGAATTGCAGTGTGGCCATGCCCCCTGGGGGGTGATTTCTCGTTTTCTGTCTCTCTGTCTCTCTGTCTCTGTCTTTCTGGCAAAGGCACATGCCCTATAGCAAAAACCTCTCCTAAAAAAAAAATAAACAACTCTTTAGTTAGTTCAATGTTTTTGCCTTAGGGCAAGTGCACTGGGTAGGAGAGAGACAGACAGTGAGAGGAAAAGTGAGAAATCACCCCCCAGGGTACATGGCCATCCCTTCTAGGGGGTGATCTCTCCCTTTCGGTCTCTTTGTCTCAGTCTCTCCAGTGAGCACACTCACACTCTAGCAAAAAATCTCTCTTTTAAAAAAAAAAAGAGAGAGAAGCATAGAGTAGTATGTACTCTTTTTTGGCCTTTCTCTTCAGTACACATGATTACATTGAGAGTGACCCACTGTTGATGAAAATCAGTAGTTCTTGGGCCGGCAGTTAAACTCTGTGCAAATAGAGCTGTATTCCACGTTGCTAACCATGGTTCAAACTTGGCCTCAGTGGCTTGAAAAGCATGCTGGGTGTGTGCCCCAAATCCTGACAGGATGGAGAAATGGAGGGAAAAGAACTGCAGTATTTCCATGCTCCATTGGGGGTGCTCTTGCTCTGTCTCTCCTCCCCAGCCCCACCGGACAAGCTCATGCACCCTCTGGCAACTAAAAAAAAACTTTTTTTTTTAATTGCTAGGTATTACTTCCTTTTTTTCTTTTTTTAGAGAGGTTTTTCCTATAGGACATGTGCGCTCCCCAGAAAGTCAGAAAG